CCATGTTGAATGCTGATGGTTGACTGTTGGAAATTGGAATGAATGTGTTATATGTATTTCTGATGTCCCTGTTGAATCATGATTATGTTAGTTGTTAAGCCCTGATTGTGTGTTTTTTCCATAAATGATGAGTTCATCATGAATCATGATTCATGACTCCTAATTATGGAATGAATGTGTTAATGTGTTATATGTATGTCAATACTGACTACTGACTTACTGAGTATGGTTATGTTAGTTGTTGGATGTTGAATTGTTGATGGTTGACTGTGGAAGTGTTAAGCCCTAATTTGTGGGCATTTCCATAAAATGATGAGTTCATGAATCATGAATCCTGATTATGGAATGTGTATCAATGTATGTCCTTATGTGTGCTTGTGTGGAACAGTGGAAGCCTTTTACTGTTAGGCCCTTATGCTGATCCTAGTTGCTCATCCTTATAGATGGAGAGCAATCAAAATATAAGTGGAACTGGGCCTCTTCCATCTTCAACAGTGGATGAACAAGGAGTACAAACCCCAGGCATTGAGACAAATGCTCAACAGCTTATGACCACTCCTAATGTTCCTGCTGATAAGAAGAGGAAGGAAATAGAGTCTAGATCCAAAGTCTGGGATCACTTTGAAAAGATCTTAGATTCTGAGAAGAAATTGATTAAAGGCAAATGCCTTTACTGTGCAAAACAGTTTGCCTGTGAAACTAAAAACATGGCACATCATCATTAAGAAATCATATGGTGAGTTGTCTTAAAAATCCTCATTCAAAGGATACAAGGTAGTCTCTACTCACATTCAACACTTTGTCCACTTCTGGGACTGGAACAGAGGCTCCTGAGAGTGTTTTGGAGACATGGGTATTTAATCAAGATGCCATTAGGATGGCCCTTTGTGAGATGATAATCATAGAGAACTCCCTTTTAGGTTTGTAGAGGGCTAGGGGTTCAAGAGGTTTATTCTAGTTGCTTGTCCTAGGTTTCTTATTCCGTTTAGGTGGACCATTTCTAGGGACATCTACCAAATTTTCCTTGATGAGAGGCTAAACCTTAAGAAGTTGTTTAGGGTGGACACTCAAAGCGTTAGTTTAACCACTGATACATGGACTTCTGTCCAGAGAATCAATTATATGTGCATTACTGCACATTTTATAGATGACCAGTGGAAGCTTCATAAAAAAAATTATATCCTTTGTCCCAGTTTCTGCTCATAAGGGGGAGTACATTGTAAAAGCCCTAGAGAATTGTTTATTAGAGTGGGGAATTAAGAATGTGTTCACTGTAACAGTGGACAATGCTTCTTCTAATGATACAACTTCGGAGTTTTTTAAGAGTAAACTGTTATCTTGGGGTTCTTCTTCTGTTAAGGTTTAGTACATGCACATGAGGTGCATATCCCATATCCTGAATTTAGTGGTCCAAGATGGGTTAAAGTTTGCAGATGAGTCAGTAAAGAGGGTGAGGGATGCAGTGAGATGGGTTAGGAACTCACCTGCTAGGCTGAAAAAGTTCAGAGAGCTTGCTGAACTAGTTGGTGTGGAAGCTAAATTATCTTTACATCTTGATGTCCCTACAAGGTGGAACAACACCTACATTATGCTCAACACTGCAGTTCAATATCAAGTAGTGTTTGATGCATATGAGAGAAATGACTCCTCTTATTCTGCTGACTTGGGGACTGTTTCTTCCTTTTTGGATTGGTGTTCTGTGGAAAGCTTAATGAAACTTTTGAAAGCATTTTATGATATGACAGTGAGAATCTCTGGTTCACTTTATGTCACATCCAACACATTCTTCTTTGAGATATCCGATCTCAGTTGCATGCTTGAAGCTATGGTGAAATCTGATCCTGAGACTGAATAGGTATTATCTTTAAATTTGTTTTAGTTTGTGTGCTTGATTTCTTTGTAAGTTGTAAACTTGTAACTTGTTTTATTATTATTATTATTTTTCTGTTTTAGGCAATGCGGACACAAATGAGGAACAAGTTTGACAAATATTGGGGGGATCCAGAAAAAATGAACTTTGTCATTTTTTTTGTCAATATTCTGGACCACAGAGATAAGGAGGAGTACATTCCTCATCAGTTTGCCCAGTTGTATGGAGAAGTTAAAGGCAAAGCTTGTTTTGCCAAGGTCCAATCTGCAATGACTGCTTTGTATGATGACTATGCAGCTACATACTCTGTTAGTTCTACCCACATTGCATCCTCTACTCAAGCAGTCCAGTCTGAGGCTACTACTTGTACAATTGGTAGGCCTCAATCATTTTTGAAGAGTCAACTTAAAAAAAAAAAAGAGATTAGAAAGTGGTGGATGCAGTAAGCAAACTGAGCTGCAAGTGTACTTGAGTGAAAGTCTTGTGGAGGATGATGAATCTGTTGCTTTTGATGTGTTAAAGTGGTGGAAGAGCCATAGTGAGAGATTTCCTATTCTCTCCAAAATGGCTAGAGATGTGTTTGCAGTTCCTATCTCCACAGTTGCATTTGAGAGTGCATTTAGTACAAGTGGAAGAGTACTTGATCCATTTAGGAGTTCCTTGACTCCTAAAATAGTGGAAGCCCTACTGTGTACAGAAGATTGGTTGAGAGCACCTAATTAGCCTATCCAAGTTGAGGAGAACCTGGAGGATGTTGAAAGATTAGAGAAAGGTAAGACTTTAGTTACTTGTTTGCCTTAGTTACTTTCTTTATTCTTTATTTCCTATTTTACTTAAGCTGAATTTCTTATTCTGTTTTGCACTTTTACAGAATTGCCCACTGGAGCTTCATCTACTATACTATTAATGTTGCCAGCAATCACTGTAATGTGTTTAATATTTTTTTTACAATGTGTTCATTTCTTTAATCTGTATGATATTTGTTATGCTGTTGACTTTTGCAATGCAAGTGGTGTTTAGTAGGGGTGTTCAATCGGTTAACCGTTCGGTTAACCGAACCGTTTTAACCGAACCGAATTAACCGAAGTTTTTTTTCCTTTAACCGTTAACCGAACCGAAGTTTGCTCTACCGAATTCACCGAACCGAAATTTTTTTCGGTTAATCGGTCGGTTAACCGATTAACCGAACTTTTTAAAGCTAAAATTTAAAATTCAAAAAATAACACCTAAAATAATAAATCTAATTAAAATAAAATACATATCATAATAAATTCATAACAAAATATACAAAAACATTAATTAGAAACTCCAAACATCCATAACTTCAAATTAGTATTTATATTTATATTATTATTTATATATATATTAAAAACTTTGGTTAACCGTTCGGTTAATTCGGTTAACCGACCTTTCGAACCGAATTAACCGTTAACCGAAGTTTTAAAATTCTTTTAACCATTAACTGAACCGAAAAAGTTCGGTTCGAAAACGGTTAACCGAACTTTGTCGGTTCGGTCGGTTAACCGAAAATTATCCGAAGTTTGCACACCCCTAGTGTTTAGCCTCTAAGTGGCTTGGCAACTTTCTATTATTGAAATGTTGTTGCCATTAGATGAATTGAGCCCAATTTGACCATTTCAGCAATTCTGAAATTTTGGTATAACTCTTCTTTGCTCTCTGTTCAGTTTTAATGCATTTGTTTTATTGGTTGGCTGTGATGAAGCTTCCACTGGTTGGAGCTCCCACACACAACCCTTAGGAGAGGTGGAAAGACATGGAAATTGAAGGTTCAAAAAAAGATCAGCGCTTTCATATGGCTTCTTAAGCAAAGGTGACTCATGACAAACGCAGAGAGAACACGAAGATGGTTCACAACTGATGCTAGATGCCCTAACTGCAATGGTCATGAAGAGGATGCTGACCATTGTATCAGGAGATGTGTTAAAGGCTATGAGATCTGGGAAGTACTTTTACCCTATGGGGCTAAAGATAAGTTTTTAGTATGGATTTTGATTGCGGGCTAACTCATAATGTGACAGGAAAAATGGACAGTAATAGAGGTGGAAAATGGGGAGAACTCTTTGCTCTCACTACATGGTGGATCTAGAGATGGAGATGCGACAAAGCTTTCAATAATGAAGCCCGGGACTTGAACATGAAGATACATTGGTTGTATGAGAAACACAAGGAGATGGAAAAAGCCTTTGCCAGGAGAATCTCGACAGGTGCTAGTCAAAGCAAGACCAAAACGTCGACACAGCCTCAGGAGGGTTGGACCATGGTCTATGCTGACGCATCCTTCATATCACCTTAGTTGGCTACGGGGTGTGGAGGAGTCATACGCAACTGCAATGGAGACTGGGTCGGAGGATTTAGCTACACAACCAATGCTACCCATGCAACAGAAGGTGAACTTTGGGTGGTGTATTTTGGATTCAAATGGGCCTGGAACCATGAGAGAAAGAAATTACTCATCTTGAGCGATTCAAAGTAGGTGGTTGACTGGATCATCAAAGGCCCCAAACCTTTAGGTCCCTGTGCGAGAATCGTGGAGTTGTGTAAGGAATGACTTTCCAAGAACTAGGAGGTCAAGTTTAACCACACGCACCGGGAATTCAACGACGTGGTTGACTGGCTTGCTAAGATTGTACCGAGGAAGCATTGCGATTAGATCAAATACCTTGAGCCCCTGGAGAACATTAGAGACTTCCTTGATAAGGATAAGGCTATGAAGGCTTTCCATTAGAATAGCCTTCAGTGGCCAAGGACCTTGTGGTCTAGTGGCACAAAGTTGCTTTTCTATATAGGAGGTTGTGGATTTAAGCTTTAGTGAAGGCGCTATTGACTCTTTGTACTTCAGTAGGTTGAGAAAGTAGTTATGAATAGATACTGCATTGTAGCAGAGGCACTAATACTAAAAAAAGAAAGAAAAAAGAATAGCCTTACAGTGAGTTTTGGGTACCTCCGCCCTCTTCCCAAAAAAAAAAAAAAAAAGGAAATCAACTGAAGGGGAAAAGCGATAGATTTCCAAACCTGAGGGATCTGTAGGATAATTTCCCACTTTCTTCATCACTGGCGTTCCCGCTGCTAATAGTTGAGCGCAAGGGGACAAAGCATATATGTGGTCCAAAACACTCCTCCGCTCTCAATCAGATTTTTCCCCTTTCTTCAAACTGCAAATATCTTCCATGTTCACAGACTGAGATACAACCCAGCTCTACAGCAATGATATCCTCTATGCAGCACGTCCGATGCCCCGGGCTTGCGTTTCTTGAAACAACATCTCTACCCATTAATTATCCGTAAGTTGTTCAAATTATTCTCTGCTTTTTTATGTTTTGGCGTATTGATGGTTTTGTGGGTGCCCAGCCCTTGTTCTACCTTGTTTTACTTCAATGTTGCAGCATATATTATTAGTAATGGAGGGCTGCAAGTTTTATTGTGAAACTTTAACCCGCAAATATCTTCCCTTCCATGTTCACAGAAGAGTAACAGAGTCGATGATGTCCTGTATCCATGTCCGATGCCCCCCCAGGCTGTGGCTGGGCCTTGCGTTTCTTCCAAAGACACCTTCACTCATTAGGTATCCTCCGTCACTTCAAATTTCTTACTCCAAATTTTTTGCTATCTCTTCTTATATTTATGCGCAGTATTTTCAACAAAGATAGAGCAGTAACAGATTCAAGAAAAATTGACCCTTTTATACTTTCGTGGATGCCCCTTTCAATACTTTTTTGTTAGATTCAAGAAAAACTGACATATTTATAGGTGGAAGCATTATTAATGAAGTTTGTGAAATGAATCACCATTAGCTTAATTCTTGACATTATTGTTCTGAGTGTTTGAAGTTTAATTTGGCCTATATTACCTGGGGTGTTTGACTGTAATAGGTAAATTTCACTTTGCATGGACAAAAATAGGCAGATTTCAAATGTTGGACAAAAATGGGTGAATCTTGTTTGGGAAATGCTATTCTGTCAAACTTTGTCAGTAAGGCATTCTCCAAATGTGTTTCTGGCTTTTTACATGGGAAATTAAATAATGTGTTTGGTGTTATTCTTAATTCTCCAGAAATACGCCATCTTTTTTCTACATGAAACGCATTTTCAAAATGTATTTCTTATATTATACAATGGGAAACTCCAAATCAGTTTCTTATAAAATATGGGTTTTCTCTTCTTACCCAATATCAGAAGAAACACATTAGGCATCCCTAATATTCTTCACTCTGTAGCAGCACCTCCAGGCTCCAGCCACTAGTCACCATTGTCGCGCTGGACTCTGTACTGCACATTCCGCTTGCTTGTTGCCCATTTTTGTCCGACTTTTAAAATCTGCCTATTTTTGTCCATGCCAAGTGAAAAATGGCTATTACCGTCAAAAGTCCATATTTTCTGTTATGATCTTTTTGAATTCCTTATCAACCTCCTCAAGTAAGGTAAAAATCATTTGCCATTCAGTATGTACAGTATATGAATAAACTCCATGGTTGGTGATGTACATGTAATTCTGTTTTATATTTTATTTCTTTACAGAAATAGGGTGTTGTTTCCTCGAAATGTTTTCTCTTGCCCAGCAAAGTTTGGTAGGTTACTGATGCTTCCAACTTTCTACATAACCATTTCATAGACTTATTGCAGCATGACAAAGAAAAAAAAGTATATTCTACGAGTGCTCTAAGTTTTGCTTTGATAATTAACAGCTGAATCTGAGCTAGAAGGCTCTTTTAGCTTCAGGACGGTGCCCCCAAACCTGGTAGCAGCAGAGAAAGAAGAAGCCAAGGCGGTGTTGACCTTATTTCTGAAGAAACAAGGCTTAAGCAATGCAGGTTCGGCAAGAATTATAAAAAAATCAGAAGCCTTCATTGATCACCTTGTCTCACGGCTTCACTCCATTCATAAGTCTCATTATCTTGTTGGTATGGTTCAAGCCTCAAGGAGATTGGTGTTTTTTTTTCGTTCGTCTATTTTGCCAATTTGTCTTCCCTTTGCCTCTCTGAATCTGTTACTGCTCTATCTTTATTCCACTTACTACACTAACGTCATCTATTTTTGTTCTGTTGTCAATTTATGACACTGCAGGCAGGGAACTTACGACACTTGAGATCAGGGATGCCCTTATCCCGTACCTTGAAACCCTTCACGAGGAATATGGAGACATTCTGGTAGATGTTGTAGAAAGCTACCCCAACCTTCCCGTTAAAGTTGAAGAGAAAGAAGAAGAAGATATTCATAAGCCTCCTCTTCCAACTACACCATCTTCTCCCCCTAGTACTATCCTCGATTCCAAGAAGCTTAAGGCCTTGGCTCGTGTGACTGATCCTGGTCCAAAAAGGAAGCTCCCTTCATATGTTCCATACCTCGCGGAGCTTGGAATGGATCTCGAATTGATTAGAAAAATTACGCGTAAATTTCCAGCATTTGCTTTCTACAGTTTGGAGGGAAAAATTAAGCCAGTGGTTGAATTTCTTCTTGAACTCGGAATACCAAAATCACAGGTTGCCACCATTCTCACCAAGAGACCTCAACTTTGTGGAATCAGCCTCTCAGAAAATTTGATTCCCACCATGACATTTTTAGAGAACTTGGGAGTAGACAAAAGGCAATGGGCAAAAGTTATATACCGATCCCCTTCACTTCTTACTTACAGCAAGCCAAGATTGAAAGTGACTGTTGACTTTTTGTACGAAATGGGTCTATCGGCTGAGAGTGTGAGCAAGGTTCTAACTCGCTGCCCAAACATTATTAGTTATAGCGTGGAGGACAAACTAAGGCCTGCAGCAGAGTACTTCCGTTCCTTGGGGGTTGATGTTGCAACTATCCTATATCGATGCCCTCAAACTTTTGGTCTAAGCATCAACACTCATATAAAGCCCACAACAGAATTCTTCGTGGACAAGGGGTACAGCGTGGCAGAGGTTGCGAGTATGGTGTCAAAGTATGCCGCCTTGTATACTTTTAGCTTGGCTACATTGGTCTTGAAATGGGATTTCTTTTTGACCATGGGTTATCCAAAGTCGGAATTGATCAAGTTTCCTCAGTATTTTGGTTATAGTTTGGAAGAAAGGATCAAGCCTAGGTATGCCATTATGGTAGATAATGGCGTGAGGCTGTTATTGAACCAGTTGCTGTCTCTGTCAGATGACGAGTTTGACAAAGCTTTGAAGAAGAAACTGAAGAAGCTAGATGAAAATTAGCATTGCTTGTTTTCTCGTGGGAATGAATCACAAGAAACTAGCTCTTATATGGAATTTAGGCTTCAGACGTGTTCATGTAAGTAAATGCCAACATGACGCTTTCTGGTGATATGCAGTTGGAGAAAACTGATTGAATGCACTTTTCCTATTTGCATTAGGTTGCGAGAAACTGTCAACAACAACTGGCCTGAAGCCTTTTTAACCTTCTAATCAACTGGTTTCTTGCTAAACGGTAAGTGTTCTCTCCGGGAGTTCAACACTAAGAAAGTAAGAAAAAGTATCCACCACATATACGCCATTGTTTTCAGGCATAGCTTCTCTGTTGTAGCTTTGATATATGCGAGCCATCATTGTTTTCTTGGTGACAGAAACCATGGACAAAGGCAAAGTGAGTGACTGGGTGAGAGTTGGAAAATCTGGAAATTTTCATCATGTTATGTAGCCTAGTCATATGAATGTTTACTTCCTTCAGCTGTATGATATGATGTATGTCCACTATTGACTTGATGTATCTTGCAAATACTCTAACAGTACTGTTGATGAAATTGTAGTTAATGGAACTTGAATAATGCAAGTACTAGGTTGCAACTAGCAAGAGTTTTGCCCCTGAATCACAACTGCTTGTCTATTTCTCTGTTTTTCTTTTTGGTCTTTGCTCCCATAAATCTTACTACAAAGACAACCTAAATTCTTTTTACTTGATCTGTACACACTAGGGCTCTGTTTGGCATGTCTATTTGAAAAACTAGTTGAAAGCTGAAAAACTAGTAGTTAATAAGTTAACTAATTGAAATTAAAGTGTTTGGTAAAATTAATTGTTAAATTAGATGATAAGTGTAAAAAGACAAAGGATAAATTAAGATATTAGGATTTTAATTAATGAAGGGTAAATGGTATATTTTTTGTAAATTAATAAAGATAAAAAAGGAAAAGATAAAGTAAAGGTTTCTTTTCTCAAAAAAAAAAAAAAAAAAATAAAGTAAAGGTTTCTAGTGATTAAAATACAAAAAAAAAATAAAAAAATCTAGCTCTTGTAGCTCAATTGGTTAGAGCACCCGTTCTCTCAGCAAGAGCATAAGTGGGAAATTATTGCTTTCTGTTATTTTAGAAGTTAGATCTCAACAACACAATATAAGTAGATATAAGAAACTCATTTTGAAACTGGAATACATATATACTTACGAGACTCTAGTTTAAATTCAAAATCAAGACTCAAGGCATATTAACCGACTCAATATCATAGAATAATCATAAGAACTAATATGCGTCCTAAACATGCAATGCAAGACATAACAGACAGATAATCATGCAAGTAACGAGTAGAGACAACTAAGGCATTCAATACAAACAATTAGCAAGTAGTCAACCAAGCACACAAATCATCCTCCAACCTTATACCAAGTTCCAACCGTATAACTCCCCTCCGTCCTTATATCAGTTCCAACCTATACCTCCAGGCCACCCTTATATCCCCACCCCTTATGCCTCCGGGCAACTACATGCCCCCACCGACGAACCCACCTTTCAACCACCAACATATCAAGGGGTTAGCGCATATAGCTCTAACATGACACCGCAGTACTTATAACCTGGCCCAATACTCAACGACAAGCTAGTCGAAGGTGGGTGTGTGCCTTTAGCACATCACCGTTATGGTCTGTACCTTTAGTACAACAATCGAGCACAAGTGGTGCCAACAGCCAACAGTTTATTTCCCACTAATCATAATCTCATCAATATCATCATCATCATCATCAGTTATACTGGCCATTGCGCAATGACCACGATACTCATCATCATCAATCAATCAACACGTAATCACATAACAAGCAAGACACAACAACAATGACACGTATCACACATAAGATCCTAGAATGATGCCTAAAACACCAACGTGACTCATACACAACAAACGGGGTACAACGGGACACGAGGAAACATTAAACGGGGAAAAACACCACGAACCACCATCAATTTCCAGCGGGTGGGCGGCGGGTGGAGGACCACCCGCCGGCGGGCAGTTGTTAGCCCGCCGGCTGCCCGCTGGAGATCGGGCAAGGGCAGCGGGTAGGTGGTGGGCACCCCTGCCCCCACCTACCCCCCACTGACTCCTAGGTAATATTTCGGTCCCGGGATCTTTCGTGGAACCCAGAACCATGTCCAGACACATTCAAGCACATAAAGACAACACCACGTATTCAATTAACGGAATTAAACCAAGAATCACACCAAATACATCCTGACACGATTCCTAAACATGTCAAGACTCAACATAAATCACATAATGATCCAGGGACATTTGGAATCAAAAGAACATCAAGAAACCTATATGCAAAGTCCTAACAAGTCCTAGGTTAGACTCAACACCCGATCATGCAAAATCCCACCCAAATATACCAAGAACATCATAATACGAAATCCATGTTATAACCCTAGGGCTCTAGACATAATCAAAATACAAGATCGTTCATATAATTAATCACAGTATCAAGAACATCAAGATTATCACATAAACATCAAGATTATCACATAAACATAATAAAAACCATAGACAAAGCTCTATCAAGACTCAAGCACAGAATCATATATCAAAGGAGCCAATAAATAAGATATAACAAGGAAAATATGTTTTGTTGAGACATGGATTACCTCTTAGCCTTAATCAATATCCTTGGCTACTAAGGTTCTTTCTCTAAGATCTTCTTTCCGTGGATTTTCCTACGTTTGATGGCAGGGGGATTTCTCTGTGGGTTTCTCTCTGGGAATGTCTTGTGTGGTAGAATTAACTGTGGTAGGGTTTCTAAATGTTTCCTAAGTCCCTATATATAGATTTAGGAGTCCCATCTAGGGTCTGAATAGTAAGGGTCCACTTATCCTATTTCTTATAGGATTAAGGATTTGGTTTAAGGATAGGGTCCATGACCCACGGTGGGCCACATTAATTAATTAAAGGAAATCCTAACCAAATTAAATCCTTTCTAATTATTATTTAACATAATCAATTAAATAATTAATTCGGGATTAGAAGCCGTAACATGGGGTGTTACAGTAATGCTCGTTGATCACTACATGTCAATCCTTCCATTTCTTGTTGATCATTACAATCTAATTCTCCTGAATCTGTTTGAGAGGGCACAAACTGGGGATTACGTCTATGAATTCTGCCTCGTCCAAAAGTCCCAGACTTAAACTCTTCCATCTCTCGGTCTTTTAAATGTTTATTTGTCAATCCTATCAGAGTTGGAATAACTCTTTTAATAGGTCTATGGAATTGTAACACAACACGATCAACATAATGTATCTGAATAAAAATGGCAACTGTTAGCAACATAACATCCTATCTTTTGCATTTTACATAGAATAAATACATATTAAGACTTACAAGCATGAACAGGAGAGAACTGGCGAAATAACCAGTAGGGTTCAGTTGCCAAACGAGTACTGCAGTATTCAATCTTCGCAAAAGGAAGCGACACCAATTGAAATCTCAAATTTTTGTGACATCATTCAATGCCAACATACGTGCACCATCATATCCACTTTTAGGGCCATCAATGTACATAGATATTAGTATGACCATGAAATGGATTTTGAACCATTCACCCCCGTTAGTGCAGTCCACCATTGCTGAAATAGCCTCACCATACAGTACTGAGGCCGGGTTTCTTGGTTTAACTTTGTCTTTCCAATCCAAGAATAATGGAAGAGTAGGAGATAACCGATTTTTCTCGTATACAATTTGAAATGGTCCCCTTGGGAAGCCTAAAGCAGATTCAACATCATCTTCTGTTACGTCAGGTTTAGAACCAGAATGCAATGTCAATGTATCGTCCATTGCATCATAGTTTTGGAGTATCCAGTAGCATAGCCGTATTGGGAATTCTGTAATCTGGAGACTAAGGATACTCCCAAAACTAATATCATTGACAGCAGCTCGTTATTCAGGGCTAAAATGTTTAATTGCATCAATCAACCTAGCTGATGATCCCCTGTTTTTAACTTCAGGGACACCGTCATAAATTCCTTGGTTTCTATTTTTGGATCTCTGTCTTTGTTTTGTAACCTGTACAGCCCCCCCCCCCCCCCCCAGATGTTCTAGCAACAACTATGCCTAATTTTTGTTGGCTTTTGCGTTTTTTTTTTTACCTATAGGCTTTTTTAAAAAAAATAAAAAAAAAATAAAAAAACAAATATATAAATTGATTGCAAAATGCAAGAAAGGTTAAATGCATAATCAATGTGCATTAAGTTGAATATAGTCTGCACAAGGAAAACAACATAATTTATCAAACATAAAGATATGGGAGTTTGAAACTTAATGTGTGTTAGGATAGTACATTATATGCGTGAAATTATAACTTATTGAGTGAGTTTGAAATTTAATGTGCGTTAGGATAGTACATGTTATGCGTTAGATTATTACTTATTGTGCGTTAAGACATAATGCAAATTGCATACAAGCATTACTTAAGGTGTGTGTTTAATTAAAACTTAATGTGTGTCAATTTGAAAATCAATTCGCAGAAATAAGATGTTCGTGTAATTAGCTAACAGTGTGCGTCAATGAATATATATATTGCAGCAATTTAACTCATAGTACGCGTGAACTAGTATGATATTGTTTTTGTATTTAAACCTTATTTTGCATCATTCTGAAATAAACATGCAAATCATACTGTGCGAGAAATGAAACACTAAACGATATTATTGGAATGAATAAGGTGGAATTTACCTTGTACAGTAGTTGCTAGTTGAGTAGATTTTTTAGACTGCGGAGCATTTCCCGGCGACGCCATGTGTGCGGTGTTGTTAAAAAAAGCTTCAAATGGAGAATGACGACTGTAATGTGTAAAATTTTTGAAAAATGCTTTTGGAAACTAAACAACGCGAAGGTAGGAAGATTTCTGTTTATAGGGTTTTTTTTTTCTTTTTTAATTTGTGGAGTACTAATTCAGTTATTTTACAACCGGGGTGCGCAAATTTTATTTTAAATGACAGAACAGTGATCTTTTAAGTTCAATGCGCGAAATAACTTAACACACAAGCACACTGAAGTATTAGCATACACATGTTTAAATATTTAGCGGCACACATTAAGTGTGTATTTAACGCATCTTAAAGCCGTTAGGTCCATTAAATATACAGGTGACACCTGTTACAATTACTGGCACGTAATACAATATATTTAAACGCACATTAATGATTTTGAAGTTTTATTTTTTATTTATTTTTTGTTTTTTTTTTAAAAGTTTGTTGGTGTTAATAAACAAACTCACACACGCTAAGATTTGTCTCTTTCAAGCCCTCTAACACGCATGTTTAGTTTTTGTTAACGCACATTAAGTCTTTTACAAAACCAAACACATATTAACTCTGTTTTATAAACATGTTAAGATTTTTCAACTACGTGAGGTATTAAGTGACATCAATGTTAATCCTAATGTATTTAGCAATATGGAAAACCTCTTTGGAACGCCTCTGGTAGGAGCAGGCCATTCACCAGAAGAAGAAGACCTTCTGGACGCAGTACAAAGAAAACTAAACGCAGCGATAACGATCAAGACGAGGGCTCAAACACTCCAATGGTGTTAGAAGGCCAAACTACCCCCCTGTT